AATTGACTAAACTATCATTATACTCCGGTATATAAAAATGAGAAATATAATAATGTTTTATTTTCAAAATAATTTATAATTTATCGTTCTTCAGTTAGAAAATTAATCATATTCATTTTAGTACTCATGTACATTATAGTCATTTTTTTGGAAGGAAACACTTACTCATTTTAGTATAACACATAATTCATGTTAATAATTAACACACAATTTTAAAATAATTAACACAAAAATCTATTAAATTAATAAATATTAATCTTGAAATTAGAAATAGAAAAAAGCTTTAATAACTTATTATATAACTCCCGATTTAAAGATTCGGGGAGTGATTATGTACGGAAGAAACGAAAAAAGAAAAGCCTAAAGAACAGGACTATGATGCGTAAATTAAAGGCCTGAAGTTGCAATGTATTACAAAAATACCGGATGTATCGCTACACCCGGATGTATGGTATAATTTGCCACAAGTCCATTGCACATCCACATCATCAAATGTAGAATTAAAATGGAAGTCTACTTTTTAATGCAAGATAAAGTGGTTCCAATTATAAAATGACTTGACACTTCATAATTTGGCACAATGTCGAGGAGGAGGTCCATATTGAGACTTGGTCTCACTCTCTAACAAAGCCAACAAGGCATTTGTTGGCCTCAAAGTTTTTTCGACCATTCATTTGCATTTTTACTTTTTATTTAGTTTTCCTTTCTTATTTACATTGGAGTTCAAATTGAATATACCCTACTTCTCCCTAATTTTTTGGTCCACATTTAAAATACACCATGCTCATTACTTTGCCATCTCAGCAGCAATGCACAAAGGCATTAGATATGCTCCCAGTCTCCCCATAAGTCCATGATCCATCTATGTACTTCATATGATGAATTTAAATATAAATTAATCACATGCTTAATACTTTCATATTTTAAAGTTTATTACATTTTTCTTTTTTGATGTGTTTTCAAAAATTTTACTATACTTTCCTTTTTTGGTGTGTTTTTTCTTTAAACTCACTCAATTATACTTTTTTACTATACTTTTTTACTTTTTATGTTCTCTTTCATAGCATTCCATCTTCTCTCATACTCTTTTGTAAATAAGTTTTAATTCAATAATATTTTTGAGAAAAAAAACACTCTTTAAAAATAAGTCAAATCAGGACTAAAGTCCCACTTTTCACTCATATTCTAATAATAGTCATTGAAAATAATCTAATATTTCTATCTTATCTTCTTTGATTGGCATCCAATAAGTTGATGACCAGTGGCGGAACTAGGGGGGCGAGCCGGTGCCGGCACTCCCCCTTCTCCGGCGGTGGTTCTGTATATATATATATATATATATATATATATATATATATATATATATATATATATATCAGCCCCGGTTCAGAAAGTATTCATATATTAAAGTGGAGTCGCTATTTGAACGTATGAGTTGTGATAGTTCAAATGGTAGGGTAGAGGTTGGGAGAGCTTTGTCTACTTAAATGGCCCGGGTTCAATTCTCAGGAGCAACAATTTTGTTTTTGCTTTCTCCATTATTGCTTAAATCACACTTTTTATGTTCAATTAATTCACTCTAGGATGTAATGTTGTTTAAATCACACTTTTTGAATTTCTTTATCTTTTATTTTAAATTCTCATTTCTTCAATTCAAATTAATTTTAATCATTTCTTCTTCTAATAATGACATATACGGACGTTGTCATTTAATGTCAAGATTAATTCTAAAACTACTTTAAGTTAATATAAGTGTTGAGGGTAAATCCTGTAGATCCGAAAGCCCAACACGAACTTTGGATATATCAGGAATGACCCAGAATCAAAGCGTGTAAAAAATATAAGATCTGAACTAACTAAAACTCGAAAGCTCACTTGTATTAATTAACCAATCTGATTACAAGGAATTTCCCGATCGGTATGTCGGAAACTATGCTTTAATACAAGAAATAAGAGCAAATGATGCTATTCTAGAGCTTGAGTATTGAAATGCTAACTCTTACAATGACTTGAAACTTTCTATTTATACTAATGGAGAGCATGGGCTGCCTCTTGCTGATTGGCCGTTGTTCCACCGACTTGGTCATCCATGCTTCCACTTGCTGATGTCATAGTCTGGCATTAATTGCACCTGGCCACTTGCTGGTTGGCCGTTGCTCGAACGGGATGTAGGGCTGTACTGAAGATGCTGTCAAATTGGCCCAAGTATGATATATAGCCCGAACCTCGTTCGGTATGTCTTCTTACTAGGCCAACCTTTATTTGGGCCGAACTCCGTTCGGTATGTCTTCCCACTGGATCTATTCATCATAGAGTGATGGGCCCGTTGCTTGGGCCGGGTATCTTGGGCCTTCTCGATCTGGGTATTGGGCCTCTAGGTCAATATCCCAACAATAAGTATTTACCTTTTGTTTAGTATAATAGCATTTTTATTTGAAACACACTACATATACATATATATAAGTTTCGGATCAAATAAAAAGAGTTCTTATCATGAAAATTGATCGAGAATAAATCTTGTGCATTTAACTTGAGATCCGATGAGTCAAAATCAGTCAACAATGCACTATATTTTATCAAAAACTCGGTGACAATTTGATAAATAAATCAAAATTTTATCTCATTGTGGAAAAGTGTAAAATAAATACGAAGTATCTACTAGTGTACCAAAACGAGTAAAAAATGCGCTCGTTCTCATTTTTCACGGGAATAACTTTTTTTATTAGAACCTCACTCTATATGTATTAATAATTATTTTCACTCGTTTTTATTTTATCCTAATAAAAAATTATTTTTCAAAAAAAAATATAAGAGCACCCCCTCAAATTATTGTCTGGTTCCGCCGCTGATTGATGACCCATTGTTTTAAGTTTTTAAATCTTTAAAAAACAGTAAAAAGATCTTACAATTCATCAAATAGTCTCTGGTCTTCTATTCCTCACCTTCTTCTACTTCACATGGGGAAGGACACTGAACCTAACTCGACGTAGACGATTCCCTTTGCCCTCGAATTAGCCCTCCTCCCCCTTTCTAAATAATTGACATGTGAACAAATGAACAAAATCAAAAGGAAAGCGTAAAGTAATACATAGAGAAAGCATAAAGTTCCAAATGAAAACTGGAAAGAGTAGACATAGAGAAGTAATGTTTGCGACAACTTTACTGTTGTGTTGCAAGTTCATATGTAAATTAGTATGGTTCGATCACACGTTAATAATAATTATTATATCAATGAGATAATCAAAAGATCTCACACAATACCATATTACCTCTTGTTTCTCACCGCCCCAATACTCATAAACTAGTAATTCCCGTTGCTCATGGTCAATATTGGCATGTCTTCTCATGGATGCTTCTAGGGCTGGCATTTTGAACCGAAAAACCGAAAACCGAAAATAATCGAACCGCTTTAGAAAAAAACCGAACCGGACCGAATCGAACGAAATTGGAACCCAATCATCGGGACCCGAAAAAAAATCGGTTCGGGTTCGGTTTACGTGCACAAAATATCGGTTCGAACCGAACCGAACCGACATTTTTATATTACTAATAATAATTGTTATTTATAATAATAATAATTAATGACGACTAATATAGGTATAATATAAACCCGAGTATGATTTGAACATAGATGACAAGGAGCGGCAATATGTTTTGTTTTTTTAGATTTTGGCTTCTTTCCTATTCTATTTTGTCCCACACCGGAAAATGAGTAGCTTACTATTCCAAAAACTTCAATATAAACTAGGACCCCTTAATGTAGGCTGCTAAGATACGTTCTAGGCTGCCAATTGGGCTAATGGGGCTCAAATATTAGCAAGTTCCAATGGATTTTATTCTATTGAATATTAGTTCAAATTTATTTATTATAATTGAGTCGGTTTTTCTGTTCAGGTAAACCGAACCGAAAAAATCGGGCACCCAAAATCGGTACCCGTTCTTATAATGGTTCGGTTTCGGTTTTGATAATTTAGTAAACTGAAATATATCGGGTCGGTTCGGGTTTATACTGAATCGTTTCGGGTCCCGAATCGAACCCAGCCCTAGATGCTTCTGCCTTTGTTTTGTCTCTACGGTGACTCTCCCTTAGTACAAATATCAAATCTCAATATAACATAGAAACTAAAGTCCGAGAGCTTCAACCACATCAACATCGCCAACCCTTTGAGGTAAATCATATTTTTCCTTTTGATAAAAAGAGTATCAAACTCTTATTCATTATGCAAATTTGGAATTCATTCACAGTATATTAGTCAAACTTATGAACCTCAAATGATCACCTTAATATTGGTATATAGCCTTTCTTGTGCAACACAATGCATTTTAGCCTAATTTCTTAGAAGTTTATTAGAAATAGCTAATATATTGACCAATAAAAAACCTAATAAATCAAGCAAAAATTGATAGATGTGTTGCAAGTTTTAAAAAGGAGAATAAAACCTATACATAAAAATCGGGTTAACATCACCTAAGTATCACAAACACTTGTAGATAGTTACCATAAATAACACAAACTATAGGTATAACCAATAAAAGACAAACCAATCAATTTTGGCATGAACAAAAAACACCGTATTAATCATTTAGCAATTCAATCAAGTATTTGTTAATTGACAACCCTTTATCATTAAAGGGAGTCTCTGAAGAATTCAATTGCAACAACCATGAAGCTTCATCCATGTGCAAGAATGACAAAGGGAGCTTCCTCAAAGTTTCCTCATGTTTAATCCCACCTTCCTCCCACCTTCATAGTACCTAGTTTTGGTGCTATAAATAGAGAGTTTGGAGAGTCTTTCTATCATCAAGTAAATTAGAATAGATCATCATAGCACAACCAAGAAGAGTTGTGAATATCCTTGAGAGATATGTGAGGTGTTGTTTTGAGAGTTTTTTAATTAGAGCTTGTATGTTTCTTCTTTCTATTCTTGAAAGTAATAGAAGTGTTTGTCTCTCATATTAGCACGATCCTGTTATTCCCAACAAGTGGTATCAGAGCCTGGCTGAGCTTTTGGTATTTTTTCCCCCAGAATTTTCGGATAAAATTCTACTGTCTGAAAATTCGTGTTTTTTGGTTTTGCTCGGAATTCCAATCTGAATACACCGTTAGATTCGTCTCTTCGAGACGAGAAAACTGGTATTTTTTGGTAATTTTTAGGCCACCGGAAGCCACCACACGCGCCGCCTATGCGCCGGTGGTGAGGAGCTCGCTGACGTCATCCCTGACGTCATTCTGCACGCAGGCCAGAGGTTGAAGACAGCTGACGTCATCGCTGACGTCATCAGCCAGTCAGAGCTGTGTCAGCGACACATCAGCGCTACGAGTGCACATCATCAGCTCACTGCCATCTTCCACCAGCGCCCAGTCAGCTGCCACGTCAACGCCCAGTTAGCGCCACGTCATCTGCCACATCACCGGTCAGTTTTTAAATTTTGAAAAATTGCAGTTAGGTCCCTCAATTTTTGGAAAATTATAATTTCCACCTATAATTTTTCGAAAATTGTATTTTGACCCCGAAAGTGTCTACCCACCATTTTGGCCGTTCCATACGCAACGGTGCTGCCCGTTTTTCAAAATTCTGCTCCGATATTTCTCAAACAGAATATTAAAATTATTTAGAAGGTGAAAATGACCTTTGACGAGTCAACTTCATCTTCCGGAGCTATGATTATGCTCACAGCTACCAACTACACGCTATGGAAACCTCGGATGGAAGATTTCCTTAGCTGTAAAGACCTTTTTGATCCAATAGAGATGAAAGGTATTAATCCTGACCCACACAAATCAATAGAGTGGAAGAAAATAAATAGAAAAATTATTGGTCAAATCCGTCAATGGATTGATCATAGTGTCTTCCACCACGTTGCACAAGAAACCGACGCTTATGCCCTTTGGAAGAAGCTTGAAGATATGTACCAGGCAGAGACCGCCAGGAATAAGGCCCTACTGATGAGGCGTCTTGTCAATATGAAGCTCAAAAGTGGAACTTCTGTTGCCGAACATACTAGTCAGTTTCAGAGTCTGGTAAATCAACTATCTTGTGTAGAAATGCCACTTGGAGATGAAATGCAATCTCTACTACTTCTTAGTTCCCTTCCTGATAGTTGGGAGACACTAGTTGTTACTCTCAGCAACTCAGCCCCAGATGGCAAACTTACCATGTCTGTGGTCAAGGATGCATTGTTCAATGAGGAGGCAAGGAGGAAAGACATGAGCACAGATCAGACTCATGCTCTTGTGACGGAGAATCGAGGAAGATCACAAGGAAAGCAACAAAGAAACAGTAGAGGAAAGTGGCAAATCAGAGGCAAAAGTCGGGGGAGATCATCAGATGGCCGGAAACCTTCTTATACCTGCCACCATTGCGGTATAGAGGGTCACATGAAGAAGAATTGCTACAAATTGCTAGAGGAGCGAGGCAAGAGCAATTCTCAAGCGAAGAACAAGGGTGGTGAAGCGCTCATCACAATCTCAGGTGATGTGGCGTATTGTACTAGCAATGATGAAACATGCCTGCACATCTCAAGAGAGGACACTGAATGGGTGGTAGATACTGTAGCATCCTACCATGTTACTCCCCACAGGTACTACTTCACAACTTACAAAGCTGGAGACTTTGGAGCAGTAAAGATGGGCAATTCCAGTTCCTCTGGAATAGCTGGAATTGGTGATATACAAATAAAGACGAGTACTGGGAGCACAATCACTTTGAAGGATGTCAGACATGTCCCAGACCTTCGGCTCAATCTCCTATCTGTGGTATGTCTTGACGAACAGGGGTATGACAACCACTTTAACAGGGGCACCTGGAAAATGTCAAAGGGCGTTTTGACAATCGCTCGAGGACATGTTTGTGGCACATTGTACAAAACCCATTTGAGGATTTGTATGGATAGCCTCAACATTGCAGAGGAGACTTCTCAGAATCTGTGGCACCTGAGGCTCGGCCACATCGGTGAGAAAGGGTTGACTACCTTGATGAAGAAGAACCTTATCAACATTGACAAGAATTCTGCACCGGGTCCTTGCAGTCATTTTTCCACCCCCATTTTTCCCGCCCAAAATAATACTTGAAATAATAATATATTGATAACAATCTTGATTTATTCTTTAAAAATAGATAGAGTTTTGCAGCGGAAATAACAGTAATGGAAAAAGGGTGTGTTACCGCCACACCCAGCCCTCAACTTGGCTGGATGTTAAGGCTATCCACCATGAGTTCAACCGAATTAAAAATTTGAATTCAAAATCTACTAACATTATTTAATCTAAGTGAAGACTACACTAAATTCTTCTAAAGCGCTCTCCAGGTTCATCACACATCATGAGCTTCGTATTCATCATTACCTGCACAAATAAAGTGCAGAAAACGAAACAAAGAAAAGGAAACAAAAATTAGCTTTAGAGTTAAGTAAGTACTACCCAACCCCGTAAAATAATCAGGTTTGGTGAAAATAGATTTTTCATATAATACTATATAAAAATACTCACACCACCGAAATTCTTTTCTAATCGAAAACATCATTTATCAACTTTATAATCTCAAATACCCGTATAATAAAAAAATAATATTTATAAGCTCCCAACAATTAATTAATATCTCAAAAGAAGTATCACTTTTCAAAAATAACTTTTGTAGCTAAAAATATCACCACTCCGAAATCAATGTCACTTTCAGATTCTTTTAAGATGAGCGAAACTCAAGATTCCTCGAGCCCAATGAATCGTTGTTGTGTACGATTCATCCTGGAATTCCGGCTCCCACCGACCACCAATTGGAAACTGAACTTCACCCTTAAGTGTGCACACCCCCTAAAAGGGATTCCAAGCCCTCCGAGTAGTAAGAAGTCCAAGTAGTTCGGACAACGTCCCCCTACCTCACAATGGGTTAGATACCCGGGTGATTAGAAATTGGTATCAGAGACTTTGTTTTTCAAAATCTTTTAAAGATTTTCAAAAAACATTTTGAATTGAAATATTATTTTCATTAATTAGGATTAATGAATTTTATTAGGGAGGAATATTATGGTTTAGGCGCGTGTGAGATTGTGTGATTGATTTTTTGTTGTTGTATTCTGTGATGTCTTGGATTGATTTGAGATTTGTGAATTGAATGGAATTTTTCCAATGGTTGCTTGTAGGTGTTCCTTATCCTAGGTTATATTGTGAGTTAGTAAACTTGAGAATAGTTATGAGTATATTCCTAGTATCCTATATCTTGTGATCTTAGGTAGAACTTGGTAGGGATCTATAAAAGTTCCTAGTATTCTGAACTTTGCGTCTCTCTTTTGTAAGAACTATGGCAACTCATATGAACGTGGTTGAGGTAAGTAAACTCTTAGTATACTATATCTAGAGCCCTTTTGATAAGGTATTTCCTTCAGTGTTTCATCTCGACTGTGTTTTGACTTGAGCTTCGGGGACGAAGCGTCTTTTAAGGGGGAGAGAATGTAATACCCCGAAAATTTGAGAGAATTTGGGAAATAATTAAAATTGTGTTTAATATTGTTTACACGGTCTTTAGGTCATTTATTATGTTTGGTTTAGTGTTTGGGACAAAGGGGAGGTCCAAATGGGGAAGAAACGGGGTAAAATCTAAGGTTTGGGGCGTCTGGGGGTCACGCACGGCGTGCGTGGAAGGTACGCACGCGTGCGTTCCTGTTGTATCCTAATGCAACTCAAACTTCGGAAATTCAATATAAATATATCCCTAATCCGATTTTCCTCATTCCAAAAACCCTAGGACCGCCTCTTCAAGCTCTATCCCTTTCAGCTCTTCAATATTAACGTATCTAGCACGAAATTTATGCCAATGATGAGATCAAACAATCCAATATTCCGGTAAGTGCGTTTGTTGCCTAATTTGCGTCGTTCATCCGTTTCTTAAATTTCTTTCTCCTAAATTGAGATCCTTCGAACCTATCACTTCCTAGGTACGTGCGAATGATCCAAAAAACTAGGTTTGACGTTTTGGATTCGTTGCTAGCCTCGAGGTAAGGACTATTGCAACCAAAATTACTATTTTGCCTCTATATTGTATAAACTAGGGTTTGTGCTATGATTTGAGTTTCTTTCTGAAAATTTATGGATAATTCGGCTATCATAGTATGAGTATGATGATGTATGCTTTTCTGGAAATTTATGAACGTGTGATTTTTGGTGAATTTATCAAATCAGTTTATCATGGCTAAAATTGTGATTTTTGGTGATTTTTCTTTTGGGATTGGAAAATTTTGGTGATTGTTTTGGTATGAGTTGAAGTATGATTTGAGACCATTATAACTGGTTATATTGAAAATATATTATGGGTTCAGAATACTCCAATTTGATTATTTTGGTGGTAGTAGTAAATGCTACTTTTGGGAAGTGGTTGTTTGGGTTAAACGCTCTTTTTGGAAAGTGTTGTGATCAAATCTTTTGGGATAAATTATATATTTTTAAATGTATAATTTGGTATGAAAATTTACATATATATTATGGAGTTATAAATATCCTTATTGGATTATTTTGAATATGGTATTAAATACTATTTTGGAACTAGTTTTGGATAAACCCTAAATTGTAAGTTTCTCTGATACCAATTTCTAATCACCCGGGTATCTAACCCATTGTGAGGTAGGGGGATGTTGTCCGAACTACTTGGACTTCTTACTACTCGGAGGGCTTGGAATCCCTTTTAGGGGGTGTGCACACTTAAGGGTGAAGTTCAGTTTCCAATTGGTGGTCGGTGGGAGCCGGAATTCCGGGATGAATCGTACACAACAACGATTCATTGGGCTCGAGGAATCTTGAGTTTCGCTCATCTTAAAAGAATCTGAAAGTGACATTGATTTCGGAGTGGTGATATTTTTAGCTACAAAAGTTATTTTTGAAAAGTGATACTTCTTTTGAGATATTAATTAATTGTTGGGAGCTTATAAATATTATTTTTTTATTATACGGGTATTTGAGATTATAAAGTTGATAAATGATGTTTTCGATTAGAAAAGAATTTCGGTGGTGTGAGTATTTTTATATAGTATTATATGAAAAATCTATTTTCACCAAACCTGATTATTTTACGGGGTTGGGTAGTACTTACTTAGCTCTAAAGCTAATTTTTGTTTCCTTTTCTTTGTTTCGTTTTCTGCACTTTATTTGTGCAGGTAATGATGAATACGAAGCTCATGATGTTTGATGAACCTGAAGAGCGCTTTAGAAGAATTTAGTGTAGTCTTCACTTAGATTAAATAATGTTAGTAGATTTTGAATTCAAGTTTTTAATTCGGTTGAACTCATGGTGGATAGCCTTAACATCCAGCCAAGTTGAGGGCTGGGTGTGGCGGTAACACACCCTTTTTCCATTACTGTTATTTCCGCTGCAAAACTCTATCTATTTTTAAAGAATAAATCAAGATTGTTATCAATATATTATTATTTCAAGTATCATTTTGGGCGGGAAAAATGGGGGTGTTACACATTGTCTATTTGGTAAGCAACATAGAGTATCATCATTTAGTTCTACTTCAACTAAAAGAACGGAGTTGTTAAGTTTGGTACACTCCGATGTCTGTGGTCCTTTCGAGGTAGAATCAATCGGTGGAAGCAGATATTTTCTGACTTTTATCGATGATGCTTCTTGGAAAGTGTGGGTGTATTTCCTGACGACGAAGGATCGGGTCTTTGAGAGCTTCAAGACATTTCACGTCTTGGTGGAACGTGAAACAGGAAAGAAGTTGAAATGTCTCTGATCTGATAATGGAGGCGAATATACATCCAAGGCGTTCGATGCATATTGCAGAGAATATGGCATTCGACATGAGAAGTCAGTACCACGCACCCCTCAGCACAACGGTGTTGCTGAAAGAATGAACCGGACTATCATGGAGCGTGTCCGGAGCATGCTAAATGTGGCTAAACTTCCAAAGTCATTTTGGGGAGAAGCAGTCAACACCGCATGCTATCTTATCAACCGATCACCTTCAGTACCACTGAACTTTGAAGTTCCAGAGAGGCTATGGACAGGTAAGGATCCTACATACTCACATCTTAGAGTTTTTGGTTGTTCATCATATGCACATGTATCCAAAGAGCTCAGACAGAAGCTCGATGCAAGAACTATCCCATGCATTTTCGTTGGCTATGGAAATGAAGAGTTTGAATACAGGTTATGGGATCCTAAGGAGAAAAAGGTGTTCAGAAGCAGGGACGTTGTGTTCCATGAAGATTTGACAATAGAAGACATTGAAAAATCCACAATGTCTCGGAAGTCAAATGAGGATGTTCAAGTTTCAAATGAAGCACCTGAATTGTTCTTGAGAAACAATGACGAAGTGCATGAAAACAACTCAGAAGCAGAAGAGGATGAGGAGACAGAAGAGAGTACAGAGCAAGGGGAGTCACAACCCACCTCGCCAGGCACAGATGATGGTAGCTCTTCTGAGATGGTTCCAACTGTTCGTAGATCTGAACGAGGCCATATACCATCGAAAAGGTACACATCATCTGAATATCTTTTGTTAACTGAAGATGGAGAACCGGAGAGTTTTCAAGAAGCTGTGTCTCATAAGGATAAAGAAAAATGGCTAATAGCAATGCAGGATGAGTTGGAATCTCTGCAGAAAAATCAAACTTATGAGATTGTAGAACTTCCTAAAGAGAAGAAGGCACTGAGGAACAAGTGGGTGTTCAAGCTGAAGAAGGATGCAAGCGGACAAGTGGTGAAACACAAAGCTCGGTTGGTTGTCAAAGGATTCCAACAGAAGAAGGGAATTGACTTTGATGAGATCTTTGCACCAGTTGTCAAGATGACCTCAATCCGAGTTATACTTGGCTTGGCAGCAAGTATGAACTTGGAGCTTGAACAGATGGATGTGAAGACAACATTTCTTCACGGAGATTTGAAAGAAGAAATCTATATGCAGCAGCCGGAAGGTTTTGAGAGCTCAAATGATAACTTTGTGTGTAAGTTATCTAAAAGTTTGTATGGCTTGAAGCAGGCACCAAGGCAGTGGAATAAGAAGTTTGACTCATGCATGAAGAGTCAAGGCTACAAGAAGACTACTGCAGATGAGTGTGTATACATCAAGAAACTCCCAGACGGTACTTTCATTGCTCTTCTACTATATGTAGACGACATGTTGATCGTTGGGA